ATCTGGTTCATTCTGGTGTCTGTTAATGCGTAGCCGCTAAGGTGGTTACAGCCGGTCTGTTCATGGCCCTTGGAGCTGAGCCTGGATATTTCCAGGACCTCTGGAAAGAACATAACATCTGAAATACGTTTAAAGGCAAGACTTGTGCCAGTTTGCCAGAGTGGAGTCAACACAGTGGGCCGGTTTCCCAGAACCAGATTAAGACTAATGCTATGTCTAAAACCACACTCTATTATACTAAACAGTGTGTCAAAACTAGTACACCACCAATAGAAGTCCATTCATTTGTTTAGTATGTGTAGTACAGTCATGTACGGTTTTAGATGCAGCTTAAGATTTAGACTAAAAAGGATTTTCAATGACCAGTCACCATTGGTGATGCCACTGATCTATCCAGGCTCGGCCAGCTAATGCATTCTTGCAAGGGTACTGTTGCTAGGAGGAACCATTGATATACATACCTGGTGCCAGGTTGCCCGTGTGGAGTCAACACAGTGGGCTGGTTTCCCAGAACCAGATTAAGACTAGTGCTACATCTAAAACCACACTCTACTATACTAAATAGTGTGTCAAACTAGTACGCCACCAATAGAAGTCTATTAATTTGTTTAGTATGTGTAGTACAGTAGTGTACGGTTTTAGAAGCAGCTTAAGATTTAGACTAAAAAGGCGGTAATTCGCTGTCCGGACCAGCAGCAAAGTATTCAGTCTGATCCTGACGTTAAAAACCGAGTTTAGCGCGAGAAACACAATCAGACACATCAGCAAATCCATCAATGTGTGAATCACTTCTAATCTTAATACACATAAAAATAAAAGAACCCCCCCAAAACACAGTAAGAAGGACGAAGCTGAAGTTGGCTTCCAATTCTCCAGCTTTATGTTTGAGTCACTTTCTTGTGCCTGAAGCTGCACCATTTAAGGTGGAACGGGACAGTCTGAACAAGAAGCTGGCAAATAAGAATCTGACTTCAGCTTTGTGTAAAAAGGTGCTAACGCTAATCTATTATGAATATCTACATGGATTAGGGAATGATATAACTTACCTACAAAGCATCAACCATCACTGTAAATAAATAACTACTACACAAAGTTAAGACCCCCTGAATGAAATAATCTTAATATAATACCAGAGGAAAAACAATCACATCAACAGGTTCTCTGTGCTTCATTAACCACACGGCCATATCTACACATAAACATCACACAGACATGAGTGTGGATCACTGCGTTCCCTCCGTTATATAATCCTATCCCACTTTCTGAGCGCGATATTCCTAAAATAATGTAATTCTGGACAGTATCTTTCTTAAACTGCCGCTCTGTAATGGTACTGAATGCAGTTCAGCAGCGATGTTGACCGCCCCAACATGGCGGCGCCGTTGACGCGCCTGGCTGGACCCAACGCGGCATCTAAAGCTCAGCACGCTGCTAAAATAACACTCATCTCGTGAGAAACTTTATCTGATCTGGGTTTAGAGCAACTATACAACGCTTTTCCAGACTAAAACGCTACGCTAAACTAAGCAGGCTGGAGCTGCCAGCCTAATGTTAGCTTAGGAAACCACACTCCGTCTACGCTGACAGCGTGACCTTTCACCCAGATACACAATAAACAGCGTTTACAATTAATAATACTTTCACTTTGGGTGTTTTGATATAAACTGAGCTGTGTGCTACAGTTTCTCATTAGGTTGAAGAGTATTATTGCTAATGTTCCGCAAAGCTTAACTTTACAAGAAGAGGGCATTTCGTGGTGGACCAGGGATAGAATGGAAAGGGCAACTGCACCAGCTTTTAAAAATTTCTGCTAAGATATAAACAGTCACTTAGACAGGTTTGATTTGAAATGCTCTGTTGTAGAGAAGCTCACTGAGTCAATGTTGGTGATAGGAACCGGACGTCTCAAGAGTTTACTGCCTCTAAAAGTTCCCAGACAGAAAGTTATTACTATTAAATGGCCTTACAGGTCACTCTGAGGCAAAATAGTCCCAAAAGAAAACTTATTTTTTCCAGATTTTCCGCTATTTTACCATCATCAACATTCCATATAAAGCTCCGAAGACTCATAAGTTCACTGGTGGATTTGGATAGTAAATAAAATATTTATATTTTTGTTGTAGTCAAGGTGACCCCTGGTTCCTATCACCACCTCTGTTAAGCCATCTGAACCACTTCACACCAAAACCACTCTGAATCTCTTTCACACCTCAACCACTGATTTAGTCAGAAATTTTGAAAAACTCGCAGGAATTCTCCTTTAAGCCTAAGAGCAGGTGCGTGTCTAACAGCATACGGTAACATAGGCCTAAATATTTACGTGTACACGTTTAGACCCACATTTACATCATACACATGCGCTGTGAAGCTGGAATGTGTGGGCAAACTGCCAGACCTGCTGTTTGTTAAACTCAATCTGAGAGGCAGCAACTGAAACAGATACTGAATTTCACAATCGGATTATGAGTAAGCGAACACGGAACCCAGCCAGACAATCAAGGCGATGTCCTTTCCTGGAGCAGACATGTGTATACATGTTTTATTTAGCAAGGGCTATTATACCTAAAAGCCAGGGAAAGAACCCAAAAAAGCTGAGATCAATGGATAAAGACACTTCCTCCTGATCACATGGCCTTTCCACATAAACATTACAGGGTTTAATATAGAACAAAGAATACCAGTTAGAAACTGGTACACTCTTAAAAAAGATGGTTCTTTAAGGGTTCTTTAGCAAAGACAAATGGTTCTATATTGCACCAAGCTTGACATCGTAACAAGAGAAGAACCAGCAGAACCTTTTTTGGTGCTGTACATATATATATATATATATATATATATCGCTGTTGTCGGAACAAAACCTCGTATCTCCAAAATGGTAACTTTACAGGAGAAGGAAAAAACATACTTTACTTTTAATGTAAGTCAATGGAACCAGAATATTTTCCAAGTGATTTTGGGCCGTTTCTTCTGGTCCCTTTATCATGAAATTTACATACAATGTAAAGGAAAACAGGCATTTTCAAATTATGTCAAAAACTGAAAAACGACAAAAATAGAAGTACGAGGTTATATGTATATATGGTGCTATATGTAAGAAATCTGTTTCTACAATCAGCCATTTCACACCAAACCACTCTGACTCTGTTTACACCTCAACCACTGAATCTCAGATATCAGAATATATCAGTCTGCTGGCTTGATAAGGTCAGCCCCGCTGCTGACTGTACGCCACTTCTGGTCCACCCTCAGACGATCCAGATTACTGTCCTGCATACAAGATCTAACTAGTGTTTAACCTCCTTTTGAATGCACACAGTCTTTTATTTTAGACAATGAGACAATAAGACATTAATTATGAACAATTCAGAGAAAAATAATGAATGACTAGGTCTAATATAAAATTACTCAGTTGAAAATGCTGTAGCTGACTCTGTGCTAGATTGGTTACAGCTGTACAGCCAGCATTATTTATAATATTGCTGCTAAAATAATTTACTAAACTAATTTTCAAAAGAGAATGCAAGACAGAAATAAAGGAAAAATAAGAGAATTGGACTGTGAGCAAAAAGCGAGTGGGCTGCCAGCTTTGCCATCTGTGGGCCAACAGCGGCCTGCTATCCTCTTCCTTTCTATTATGCATACAATTGTGAAAAATCCCCTTTACAAGGACTAGGCTTAATCCCCTGTCTGGGAAGCCCACCCTTAATGTTTACAGCATGTGGTATGAAGAAATAGAGATGTATATATCATCAGAGCTCTTCCTCCTATTTACACGGCTTTGCAAAATAACAATAATTTTGAAAAGTACATGGTGTACTTATCCAGTGTGCAGTCTGGTAGAGAATGGCTGATCTATGATTCAGGCACTTCCTCCCACCCAGATAGCAGTTCAGCATAGAACAGTACACAGTGTAACACAGAGTATGGAACACAGTATGCACTGCGTTGGTATAGAGTACCTATGCTTAAATCAACCTGGAGTATCCATATGGAAATCTGATATATGGCCATATATCGCTGCTTTTGTTGGTTTTCGGTTTTTGACATCATTTGAAAATACCTGTTGTCCTTTGCATTGGGCGTAAATTTCATGATGAATGGACCAAAAGAAACGGCCCAAAATGGCTTGGAAAAAATATATATGTGTGTATATGTACACAGTATATATGATCCATATTTTGTGGGTGAATTAATACACACACAAAACATGGATCATATATACGGCATGTCTGATACAAACACTGAAATTAAAACAAAAAAAACCCTTATATAACATGAAGCCAGCATATATGTGTAGTAAATACCAACCATACATGAATGCTTTCTTAAAATATACATATTGCACATATATACATGTTTGTGTGAATTCTTATATGGCTGAAATGTAGAAAATGGCCAATAAGTTGCCATATATGTCGCATATACGTCCATATATGACATAGACATAAAGGAAGCTAATGTATACTAATATCTGTCATCTATTTGAAATGAATATATTGCCATATAGCAGATTTCTATGGGACCCAGTGAGCAAACACATGGGCATTTCACCAAAGTAGGCCCTTCTATTATAAGATAGGGAACACTGGAGGTGATTAAGCGGTTGTCTATGCACACAAAGTTCGTCACACACGTTCCTAACTCTTCTAAATCACGTCTGGAGATGGAGAAACCCCTCCAGAACAACCGCAGCCCAGCAGGCGAGAACATCCACTCCACTTTTGTTCAGTTAGATCCAGTCGAGCCTCCTCAGGCCCCGCCCCCTGCTCCCCTCTCCCCCCTCCCCTCCAGCAGCAGCAGCAGCAGCAGCCGCTGTGCACTCGCTCTCCACGCGGTGTCCACGCGTCGCTTCTGCGCTCTGATTGGCCGCAGCCGACACAAACAAGCGGCCTCAGCCAATGGGAGCGGTGTTCATGCGCTGAGCCATGCCGTGCATGCCCCGCGCACATGCACAGCTGAGAGCGACAAACAGGGCCAGTGAGTCACTAGCGGTATAAAACCGTGAGCTAGCAGTCCGGACTCAGAACTAGACGACGAGTTTTGACGGCGGATGCGTGTGAGCTTTGAGTTTGTGTGAACAATCGTTGTGCCTGTTTAGGTCGATTAGCCTGGCGACTGGCGTTTATGTGCAACACTGAGGAGCATTTAAACGTCTTTTAGGCCAAATTGCGGAGTTTCTCTCTGATCTGAAGAGCGACAACAGCGGACCCACAAAGCAGCGAACATGGTGGCGATGACCAAGACACTGAAGGTCTTCGAGATCGTCTTGAACGACCCGAGCAAGACCTTCTACACCAGTGGAGATAAAGTGGCCGGGAAGGTGCTGGTGGAGGTGACCGAGGTGACCAGGGTGCAGGTCGTGAAGGTGCTGGGCATCGGCTGCGCCAAGGTGGAGTACGCCAAGGGCAAGCAGAGGTGCAAGGAAGAGATCGACTACCTGAAGTACGAGGAGGTGGTTCACCTGGACGACCAGCCTGCAGGTGAGCATGTCCTTCACTGTCGTCCACTGTGCTGTGCGTTGCTGGACAGGAGGCCAGTTTGGCTGCTGCAGAGTTCCTTTGGAGAACTGCAGGAGAACCCCTTAGCTAGCTAAAAATGGTTCTTTAGTAGCAGTTAAAGGCAGTGGTTCCATATAGAACCATTTTGCATGCTTAATGGTTCTTCGCATGGTGAACTGGAGCTTCTGATTGATGGAGAATGTGCTGTACATGGTTCTGTAGAAGGGTTTGTTATTGTTGAAGTTGTAGCCTTTTTGGTGCCACCTAGAACCATTAAAAAAAAGGTTCTGTATAATCATATATAACATGTTCATGGTTCTTTATGGAATCACTGTCTTTACTTAGAACCCTTGCAGAACCATCTTTTAAGTAGGAGTGTCTACTCTTGGTTTGAAACTAGTTGCTGATGCTTCAGAATGAGATGCATGAGCCACAGTGAAGCTGTGCAGAAGCTAAAGCAACAGTGAATGAAGCTAGAACCAATAAAGGGACCTCGGTTCTAAGTATCAATGACTAAAATGGTTTAAGGTGAAAACATTTCTTGTGTATAGTTATTTGAGATAGGAGTGAATGAATGAATGGGGACTTTTACTGTGCAAGTCGATTGAAGACTTTACACACAGTCAATAAATTATTATTGATGAAGAGGGTCAGACATAATCGATCATTTCCAGTGGTCGTAGTAGAACATGGCTCGCTGTGGACAAGCTTAGGTGTTGATGTGCTAAAGTGGGATTCCCCCAAAGGAGGGGTTTTCTGTCCGACCCACGTGGTCTCCCAGCCTGTGTCTTTATTTCTAGCAAAGTAGCCAGCGCTGATTACCTGGCCCAGGTGGGCTTGAAGCTGGATAAAATGCTTGAAACGGCTGGGGGTCACCAAGAACTGGACTAAAACCCCCCCGGGCTTGTGTAGAGTTGCATTGCTCATTCAGAACAATTGGATGATTGTATATGGAGCACAAGCTGCACTTTACTGTGGCGTTTTCCAAATAATAACATGATTATATCCTTTTGTTTTTAACAGACACTGATGGCTCAGTGATCCTCCGGCCTGGGAACAAATATGAGTACACATTTGGCTTTGAGCTTCCAGCAGGGTGAGTGTTTTGAGCCGAATACTGGTTTGGTTTCAGTTCATATACATTTCTGTGCTCCAGGAATCATGTGTTAATGCGATGCTTCTGTCCATTGACAGGCAACTGGTGTCCTCATACAAGGGCAAGTTTGGATTTGTGCAGTACTATGTGAAGGCCATGATGGAGAGGCCTTCTCAGCCTGCTCTGGAGTGCAAGAGGCACTTTGAGGTGGAGGAACCAATTGATGTGAACACCCCAGACCTTCTGGTGAGATATTTTTACCTATTTTTGATTTATACATTAAATATAAGCAGAAGTTAGCCGCCGTTGAGGTGGCTAGATTAGGACCTCCACAAAATAATGTGGCTTTTTGGTTATTTATTCACTGTTTAAGCCTCTACAGGCTCTGCTAGAGGTCTTAGAAGTGGCATCAGGACCACTCATTCAAAGTAGATTGAAAGCGGTGCTAATAAAGCATTAAAACCTGAGCTCATGTTTGACCATCTCTCTCTTCCACTCTTTTCTACCAATCAGTCCCCAACAGGTGGGATGAAGGAGAAGAAGGTCACCTGCATGTTCATCCCCGACGGCCAGGTGTCCCTGAACGCTAAGATCGACAGACGTGGCTTCTGCGAGGGCGAGGACATCTGCATCGACGCCAAGTTTGAGAACACCTGCTCGAGGATTGTGGTGCCCAAAGCCGCCATAGTGGCCAAGCACACCTACCAGGCCAACGGCCGCACCAAAGTCTTCAGGCAGAAGCTTTCTTCAGTTCGGGGCAACCACATCATCTCTGGCATGTGTGACGCCTGGCAGGGGAAGACCATCCGAGTGCCCAAGATCAAACCCTCCATCCTGGGCTGCAACATCATCCGTATGGAGTACGCACTCATGGTGAGTGTTGGCGGCCATCAGTTGACATGGCACTTCCGAACAGCACTTACTGACCCACAAATAGTGATCACAGGGCAAATCCTGTGTTAGATAACACGCTTAGGATGGAGCAAATGAGAACCTGGTGCTGTGTCACTTGTTAAGGTTAACGACCCAGCAGTGATGCATTGACCTCAAGCAGCTGCATTGATTTTTAGATGTTATAATGTATTATAATCCGGTTTTTATGGCTGTTGCCTGCAATATAATCTAAGTTGCTGAATTCTGAATTCCAAACCTGACCTGCTTCATCTTCTTCTGCCCCCAGATCTACATGCACATCCCAGGCAGCGAGAAGCTGATCCTGGAGCTTCCTCTGGTCATCGGCACCGTGCCCTACAACGGCTTCGGCAGCCGGACCAACAGCATGAGCAGCCAGGAGGGTTCCACCAGCACGGCCTCGGCCAGCTGGGTGTCCCTGCGCATGCCTTCCTCCGCTCCTCCCAGCTACTGCGACGTGACTCGCGACTGCCGGCTTGACCAGCCCCTCACACCCCTGCTGGACGACTACGACGGCGGGGACAGTCCTATCTTCATGAACACCCCACACTTCCAGTTCCCTCCACTTCCTGCCTACTCAGAGGTGAGTTTATGTGCTTTCTAGTGCTAGTGATGACAAACGTGCGCTTTAACCAAATATAGTGTTTACAAATACACACCAAAGCTGTTACAGTGCTAACAAATACAGTGTTGTAGTGCTAGAAAATGCAGAAATAAGTGGCGTTGCTATTATCAAGTGCACATCTGAGTAGTCAAAGGGCTAATAGATGCACTAATAGATGTAACGAATACACAAAAATTCACAATTAAATAGCTGTAGTGCAACCAAAGTAATAACTGTCCATATATAATACATATTTAATACTAACAGATTAACTATTTTGCTAATAAATACATAGTTACACAATTATGCTGCTAATAGATGCACATCAAAGTAGCTATAGTGCTAACAAGTGCATAGCGTAAGTAGTTACAGTAAGATTCATAATGATACCAAACCAACTGGCATTGCTTAGTGTTGCTTGTATTGATGCATTTGTTTATGGTGAGAACGAGACCTAACTCACTGTTCCCTCTTCTTCTCAGGTGGAGGAAGAATACAACGGAAACGCTCGCATGCTTCCAGTATGTTGAGCCCCTCAGCACCTCCAGGACTGAAGCCCATCATAAACGGGCCAGTTTTTACTCTAGGCTCTTAAATAATTCACCATTCAGGAACTGAATTTCGAGCTGTTTGAAGGCCTTTTCCAGGCTGAGGAAGAGTTCGGGGCCGAAGAAAGGTGAAGTTCGGAGAAATAGGTTCCACTGTCTTGAGTTTCCCGTGCCTGCGCTGTTGGTGGCCGTCACTCGAGCGACGCTTTCCGAGTGCACGGCGGACAGACGCCGTTTCAGAGCCTGAAAGAGCACGGTGTGCTTTCTCACTGTGCAGAAGCTGCTCCTCTTTAATCTGAGATTCCTGCTGAGACGTGAAGCTGACTGTCACGTTGTCGTAGCCGTATAGTCACTCCGAGACTTTCCCCAGAAGGGAAGAACCCCTTTTCCCTAAGTTTTCCAGCATATCATTGATTAGCTTTCATCCTCTTTGGTTGCCTGTTCTTCGTTTATTACTAATCATTCCATTAGATTCCTCTTTTTTTTTGAGGATTTTGTTTGAGGAACCATCTTTTTAATGTATCGTCATCATTTTGAGTTAGAAGCAGGTGAGCCTAGTCAGAGATGGAAAATGGAAAAGGTCAGTGTGAGATACTGCATGTTTTGCCTGAAGATATGAAGGGAACGTCGTGCAAGAATTTGTTTTCTTTATCGATCAGTGTTTTATAATGCTGTTTCTTCTATAATGCACTTTTCTTGTGGATGCAATTTGCTCTGTAACTGCCTACAGGGACTGTTTTGTATATTAAGGTATTTTGTGGTGTTTGTGCTTTTGTTTTGTTTTCCTCTAGTCTTCCAATTTTTTATATGTGACAAACAGTGTGCTATCTTGCAGCTGGTGTAAAGATCAACCGTAGACCTTCCACTGTATCGTGTTCAAAACCTCTCGTGTATCAAGGGCTCCGTTTAGTGTTTGAATGTGGGCTTTATTAGCGAGCCAAAAGAAAACGTTACGCTAAAAGTGCCAAAAAAAGTGGTGCACCTGGGTTCCGAGCCCCATTTAACATCAGGAATTGCACTGTGTGCATAAATATTGTCAGTACGAATGTTTTCTTGTTTGTTTTTCTTCCCCAAGATTACATTTCAGTTTGAAGAGTCTTTGTGACGCTCTTCCTCTTTTTCGTTGTGTGTTGTTGTGTTTTCACCTTAATGCCAGACTGATCTGTGGCATCTGTAATTTTTTTTTTTTTTGCAATGCATCTTTTGTATGTATATAAATTGAATGGATTTTGTATCAGAAACCCCATGGGTTGGTTTTCAATAAAAGATTGAAAATTTTACATTTTTTCTCCATGTTGTTCTTTATATACGACTAATACAACTGGCTGTGCAGACCAAATATATAACAATTATTATAATTATTTAATAAGACCAAATAATTTCAAGGCGGGTAATGATGTGGAGTGAGTATCATCAAACTAGATCAGTGACTAAACCAGGAGTTGCAACTCAAATGTTAAGAAGAGCCGTTTTGTCCTTTCAACAAAAATCAAAACACCTTGACAGCCACAACAGTTAACATCCATTTTACTATCTTGGCTATAAATATGTGTCAGTGTGTGCTGATGTACAAGTATAGGATAAAAAATATAAACAAAAACACAGACTTACTTTGCTCTGCTTTAAAAGCAGAACAGTTTCTTGCAAAATGTCTCTTAATGTCAGATTTTTTCTGAGGCTGAAGTCGCTTCTTATTCACCACCTTCTTGTTTGAATTTTCCCGTTCCACCTTAAATGGTGCCTGAGGCGCCAGAATGAATCTGCTGCACCATTTTAAGGTGGAACGGGAAAATTCGAACAAGAAACTGACGAATGAGAAGCGACTTCAGCCTCACGACTTTTTAGTGTTTCTCAGTTTCTCGTTGCAGATTAAACGTATCAGGAAACCAGCTGGAGTGATTATAAATGCATATAAGTCAATTCATCTCCAAATTATTGATGTTCATCTTAAATCTCTCTCTTTGCCGTTTCGTTAGCTCCTAGCTAGACGAGATTGTTGTCTGTGTTGCTATGGTGACCAGCAGTCTGCGTGCCAACCTTCAGGGTTAAAGGGTGAATCAGCAGTTCTACATTAACTCCAGAGTTTAAGACCGTTTATTGTTAAACTGTGTTGAACGATCAGCAGAGCTTTATTTTACTGTAAAGGAGGATTATTTTATTTTTACCTACAAATCTGATTCTGCTGTGGAGCCACAACAGGGCAGTAAAAGAGCTGCATGTTGCCGACCCCTCGGTGGGTGGGGGGGGTGCGAGTTAGGATTGTTTCACCCTCAGTTGAGCTTTGAGGTGAAAGTATTTGGAGAGGGCAGATGCTGCCTTTTCAAACTCACTCATGCGTGATCCTTTCCATCATTGTTTATGGGACTGAATAGCGCTCGTCTAGCCTGAGCAACACACTCTGAGGTTTGAAACCGCATGTTTAAGTTGGAAAACCACCAACTGGAAAAGCGCCACACATCATCACAGCTGACCAATACTTCATTAAAGCACCTTTCAGGTTTCATTTTGAAATAAGAAACATCCCTCATTTTCACATCACTACCCAAATACGAGCTTTAGTCCATAGGCGAAGCTTTATATTAGCCTCTTTTCCTTTTATTTTTCCACTTTTCATCAGTCCGGATCAGGGCTGATCTGTTTTTCTTCAGTGCAGTCCGGATCAGGACTGATCTGTTTTTCTTCAGTGCAGTCCGGATCAGGGCTGATCTGTCTGGATCAGGGCTGATCTGTTTTTCTTCAGTGCAGTCCGGATCGGGGCTGATCTGTTTTTCTTCAGTGCAGTCTGGATCGGGGCTGATCTGTTTTTCTTCAGTGCGTTCTGGATCAGGGCTGATCTGTTTTTCTTCAGTGCAGTCCGGATCAGGGCTGATCTGTTTTTCTTCAGTGCAGTCCGGATCAGGGCTGATCTGTCTGGATCAGGGCTGATCTGTTTTTCTTCAGTGCAGTCCGGATCGGGGCTGATCTGTTTTTCTTCAGTGCAGTCCGGATCAGGACTGATCTGTCTGGATCAGGGCTGATCTGTTTTTCTTCAGTGCAGTCTGGATCGGGGCTGATCTGTTTTTCTTCAGTGCAGTCTGGATCGGGGCTGATCTGTTTTTCTTCAGTGCAGTCTGGATCAGGGCTGATCTGTTTTTCTTCAGTGCAGTCCGGATCGGGACTGATCTGTTTTTCTTCAGTGCAGTCCGGATCAGGATCAGGGCTGATCTGTTTTTCTTCAGTGCAGTCCGGATCAGGACTGATCTGTTTTTCTTCAGTGCAGTCCGGATCAGGACTGATCTGTTTTTCTTCAGTGCAGTCCGGATCGGGGCTGATCTGTTTTTCTTCAGTGCGTTCTGGATCAGGGCTGATCTGTTTTTCTTCAGTGCAGTCCGGATCAGGACTGATCTGTCTGGATCAGGGCTGATCTGTTTTTCTTCAGTGCAGTCCGGATCAGGACTGGTCTGTCTGGATCAGGGCTGATCTGTTTTTCTCCAGTGCAGTCCAGATCGGGACTGATCTGTTTTTCTTCAGTGCAGTCCGGATCAGGGCTGATCTGTTTTTCTTCAGTGCAGTCTGGATCAGGACTGATCTGTCTGGATCAGGGCTGATCTGTTTTTCTTCAGTGCAGTCCGGATCGGGACTGATCTGTTTTTCTTCAGTGCAGTCCGGATCAGGACTGATCTGTCTGGATCAGGGCTGATCTGTTTTTCTTCAGTGCAGTCCGGATCAGGACTGGTCTGTCTGGATCAGGGCTGATCTGTTTTTCTCCAGTGCAGTCCGGATCAGGGCTGATCTGTTTTTCTTCAGCGCAGTCCGGATCAGGACTGATCTGTTTTTCTTCAGCGCAGTCCGGATCAGGGCTGATCTGTTTTTCTTCAGCGCAGTCCGGATCGGGACTGATCTGTTTTTCTTCAGTGCAGTCCGGATCAGGACTGATCTGTCTGGATCAGGGCTGATCTGTTTTTCTTCAGTGCAGTCCGGATCGGGGCTGATCTGTTTTTCTTCAGTGCAGTCTGGATCGGGGCTGATCTGTTTTTCTTCAGTGCGTTCTGGATCAGGGCTGATCTGTTTTTCTTCAGTGCAGTCCGGATCGGGACTGATCTGTTTTTCTTCAGTGCAGTCTGGATCAGGACTGATCTGTCTGGATCAGGGCTGATCTGTTTTTCTTCAGTGCAGTCCGGATCGGGGCTGATCTGTTTTTCTTCAGTGCGTTCTGGATCAGGGCTGATCTGTTTTTCTTCAGTGCAGTCCGGATCAGGACTGATCTGTTTTTCTTCAGTGCAGTCCGGATCGGGGCTGATCTGTTTTTCTTCAGTGCAGTCCGGATCAGGACTGATCTGTCTGGATCAGGGCTGATCTGTTTTTCTTCAGTGCAGTCCGGATCAGGACTGATCTGTCTGGATCAGGGCTGATCTGTTTTTCTTCAGTGCAGTCCGGATCGGGACTGATCTGTTTTTCTTCAGTGCAGTCCGGATCAGGACTGATCTGTCTGGATCAGGGCTGATCTGTTTTTCTTCAGTGCAGTCCGGATCGGGGCTGATCTGTTTTTCTTCAGCGCAGTCCGGATCAGGACTGATCTGTTTTTCTTCAGTGCAGTCCGGATTAGGACTGATCTGTTTTTCTACAGTGCAGTCCGGATTAGGACTGATCTGTTTTTCCTCAGTGCAGTCCGGATCAGGACTGATCTGTTTTTCTTCAGTGCAGTCCGGATCGGGACTGATCTGTTTTTCTTCAGTGCAGTCCGGATTAGGACTGATCTGTTTTTCCTCAGTGCAGTCCGGATCAGGACTGATCTGTTTTTCTTCAGCGCAGTCTGGATCAGGGCTGATCTGTTTTTCTTCAGTGCAGTCCGGATCGGGACTGATCTGTTTTTCTTCAGTGCAGTCTGGATCAGGGCTGATCTGTTTTTCTTCAGTGCAGTCTCGATCAGGACTGATCTGTCTAGATCAGGGCTGATCTGTTTTTCTTCAGTGCAGTCCGGATCGGGACTGATCTGTTTTTCTTCAGTGCAGTCCGGATTAGGACTGATCTGTTTTTCTTCAGGGCAGTCCGGATCAGGGCTGATCTGTTTTTCTTCAGTGCAGTCTGGATCAGGACTGATCTGTCTGGATTAGGGCTGATCTGTTTTTCTTCAGTGCAGTCCGGGTCGGGACTGATCTGTTTTTCTTCAGTGCAGTCTGGATCAGGACTGATCTGTCTGGATCAGGGCTGATCTGTTTTTCTTCAGTGCAGTCCGGATCAGGACTGATCTGTTTTTCTTCAGTGCAGTCCAGATCAGGACTGATCTGTTTTTCTTCAGCGCAGTCCGGATCAGGACTGATCTGTTTTTCCTCAGTGCAGTCCGGATCAGGGCTGATCTGTTTTTCTTCAGCGCAGTCCGGATCAGGACTGATCTGTTTTTCTTCAGTGCAGTCCAGATCAGGACTGATCTGTTTTTCTTCAGCGCAGTCCGGATCAGGACTGATCTGTTTTTCCTCAGTGCAGTCCGGATCAGGACTGATCTGTTTTTCTTCAGCGCAGTCCGGATCAGGACTGATCTGTTTTTCCTCAGTGCAGTCCGGATCAGGACTGATCTGTTTTTCTTCAGTGCAGTCCGGATCAGGACTGATCTGTTTTTCTTCAGCGCAGTCCGGATCAGGGCTGATCTGTTTTTCTTCAGTGTAGTCCGGATCGGGACTGATCTGTTTTTCTTCAGCGCAGTCCGGATCAGGGCTGATCTGTTTTTCTTCAGTGCAGTCCGGATCAGGGCTGATCTGTTTTTCCTCAGTGCAGTCCGGATCGGGGCTGATCTGTTTTTCTTCAGTGCAGTCTAGATCAGGACTGATCTGTCTGGATCAGGGCTGATCTGTTTTTCTTCAGTGCAGTCCGGATCGGGACTGATCTG